TGGGCTGAATTGCACAAAACGCATGATCGCATCGGCTAGTCTGGTGCGCGTTGCCATTTATTTCATGATGAATTGGTCAGTGCTTGCTGTAGCTTCTCATTCAAAATCACGGTAAATTAATGTATTGATTCAGTATTGTTTTTTGAACCAGATACATCACACATATACATAGATTCTGTTTGATGAGCAAATATCTCATATCGTAATTATTTGTTTTACAGCTTTACGTGAAGAAGAGATTAGAAGAAGGCTATGGTAACGAAATTGCTGCTCAGGCGTTCGAATTTATCACTGGATTTGCTTTTGTCGTAAATTCAAGGATACTGCGATTTTTTCAACCTCAGGAACTGATGGAAATGGTTGTTGGTAATGAAAATTACGATTGGGATGTTTTTCGCCAGGTCGCTTTTCTTCATTTCCCCCCGATTCTGCCCTTTCTTGGAGTTCTACCTTTAAATTCAGTCCTTTAAATTCAGGCTTTTTGAATAGCATCAGATTTTACTTCTGTCCAGGAGTTACCTTGCATATCTTCTGTTACCGTTTAATACATAGTCGAAAAAAAATTGAATTTATTGTTGCGTACACTGTGATTGAGCTTGTGGATAGATTTAATTGCTGGGGACAAATAGCAGTGTTGAATCTGGATCTAAGCAGAAGGGTAAGACAAATAGCCTTTAGTTTACGACACATTTGTCAACACTGAAGGCGTAACTTCAATTTAATGTGTTGTCAGTTTTGCCATACGGAAGAAAATTTTGGGATATCACATCAAAAAGCTGCAGTGTATCGCCAGCTAGACATCGCTGTCCCCAAAAGCAATATTATCAGGAAATTATGGTCGGGGAAAAACACATATGCTCTTCATATGGAAAAACTGAGAGAACACTTGGAGCATCATTGAGGATACCGGGACATTTTCGCGATGCTAAGTACATCATTGAGAAGGAGGAATCAATTTCATTATCCATGTGAGGTGGAAAATTTTAAGAGATAGGTGATTTGCCAGATAATTAAGATGTGACTGGAAGGAGTTTTTTAGAATACAGTATACAAAGGGACGTACTATTCACAGCACGAAGCAATACTATGTTTTTGGGACGTCTTCTTTGGTCTAAATCTCGCTCAGAGGAAGAAGTTTTTGCAGTTTCTAATGGGTACCACGCGGATACCAATACAGGTAACTTGACTCACAATTGTTACGCCTCAGTTGCTGCACAGTTGCTTAAAAATTGACTGTAATTGTCAACTCTGACTTGTGACCACCCCCAGGCGACAGGCATGATGTCCTTCGGACCGATTTACTGAAATTATCAACTCTTTTAAGAATGCGTGGCATCCAGCAGTAATCTCCTTCTGAAGGGCTGGATCTTCCAAGTGTTTTTTTGAGAAAACCGATGGCTGTTCTGAAATTTCGGCATCTACATTCGGTTATTCTACTGGCGCTTCTTACAACTGTCAATGTCTGTCAGCACAAAGCGACCAGTCTGTCGATTATAATTGTAGGGTATGTCGGCAGTGAAGATGTGCATTCAGCCGTGCGATGAAAAGGCAATCCCAGTGGCACACACATGTTTCAATTTGCTTGATCTACCGAATATCACTGATCGAGAGGAAATGCGTAGACGCCTACTAATCTGTCTTGAGAATACTCATGGCTTCAATCTTGTTTAATTCGTCGCCTAATAAATTCAGACGCCAAATACCACATGCATGCAAGTTGCTGTTGAATCGATCGTTATATTATACTCCGTTATATTACGCTTACGATCGTTATATTACGCTCCGGCTTTTTATGTTGTTTCATGTCTTCTGTTTTTCGATGCTTGGCTGGTTTTGTATGAAGCACGATTTTGTATGGCTTTACTGCTGAAGTAGGGGACATTTTTTCGGAAAAGTAAATGACGCAGGGCGAAGGTGCAACCTCGTAATATTTAGAGGCGCTGCTTAACTCACTTCTTTCCTCGTAATTTGGATGGATTCCTCTAATTTGTCCATTATTTCAGGAGTTTGTATTTTAGCACCAGTTAGATGCAAATGCCAAAGTGTTCTAGACTTTTGGCATGTGGCGTTGAAGTTTGCATTACGAACGCGATCTTGAACACGAACTTTTAGTGATGTTTAGCTTGACGGTTAGGTGCATTCGCATTATATTCTTTGTCATTTTCTGTTACCATTTTTTCTCACCAGTTTTACAAACGTATTGTTCCGGGTTGATTGCGACATGACATCGTATCGTGCTCGCATTTGCCTCATTTTCGTCTATGTTTATTTACTGAATTTAAACAGATTTCAAGGTCATGTATATAATTGACAGTCTAGGCAGTGCTG